TCGCATAATTGCATGTCAAAGATATATTCAAAACACCAATACTTAAAACGAAATTCCAAATTGTCACAAATATTAAAATGTCAAAAATATACATTTCTTTAATTTTGGTATCTTGTAAAACAAATCTCAATATTCTAAATGCTATAACTGAAGATAAATTAAAGTTTTTTTTTGTTTTCACGTCTTCACATATCAATGTCAACAAGTCGCGTTATAGTTCTCCAACCGCTATCTGTTCACAAATCTGTAACACTGTTCCGGTCAAAATATTCTTCAATCCAAAATCGTCAGTAACAATCGTACTATTAGGGTACAAAAAGTAACCACTAAACATAAATATAAATAATTTTTTAAATAAACAATATATTTATAGTTTAAATATATTTTTAATTAAAATATTATATGTTTTTATTTTTAATTTTGAGGTTTAAAATATTATTTATAGAGTAATAAAGCGTTGTCATTTTATCTCAATTTCAAAGTATTACCCCCTGTTTTTGAAATTAATAATAAAAGACACGGAACGTGTCATCATATTAAGATCGTTTCCGATTGGGTATTCTAATAAGAATTGTACTTAATAAAATTTATAAATTTTGGTACAACTTCTGTAACTCGAGCGTTTTAATACCTGATTTAAGTTAATTTAATCGGTAGTGCATTTAGTTTTGTGTTGAAATATGGCAGATTATTGGCAAGAAATCCGTTATCGTTACAAAACTCTTTTTTTTTTTTTTTTGTTTTCCTTAAGGAAGTCTTAAAATATTTTTTTTACTTTTTTATGTATTTTAATCGCTTTCGGAAGAAAGGCAAATAATAATAATAATAATAAAAGGATTTAAAACAGTTAAAACAAAGTTAAAATTGCAGCAAATACTTTATAAGGAAAAGTCATCAAGTTCACTTAGTTTACTTTGAGATCTTCATTAACTAATCGCGGATGAATAATATTTGGCACTGTAAATATTACTTCAGACTATTTAAATAAAGATTTTACTGAAAATTTGACAGTTAGATTTTCAAATAAAAAAGCAGTTCAAGTATTTTCGGTTTTGAAATTAGACGCTTCTATAGTTTTTATTTATTGTTATTTTTTTTTAAAATAATGATGTCGAACTTGATTTGTTATTTTTTATATACCAGTAAAAAATAAAATTGGAAATGTTTAATAATTTAAACTTTTTTTTAAAAAAAAATTCTTTAAGTTTTTAAATATTGTTGAAATGAAGAAAGACATTTTTTCTTTATAACAGTTTGACTTACATCTTTTAAATTTTACTAGTAAAAGTATCAAAAAATTTTTAATTTTCGAGGACTCAATTGTAATTTAAAACGCTTTCAAGGTTTTTTTTTAGAAGATAATTACCAATAAATTATAAACAGTTTATCTATTCAATGAAATTTTAAACAAACCAAACTCTTTTTTCACTTGCCCGTTCAATTAACAGAGATTAGTTAGATAGAGTGAATTTTACGTTGTTATAGGAAATCGGCTTCTTTATAAAAATTAGCGTGGAGATAAAACTTGTAATAGGATAACGGACAACAAAAGACAAACTGCACACTTTGAATTGCTACTTTCAAACCTCATCGATGACCTCAATCCAGCGTGTGCTAATCTAATTTGTAAAACAATATATTAAAATATTAATGAGGCGTGTGTCAAATACTTACATAAAACCTTAAAATAATCTGCGCGAGAAAAAAATAAAAATAAATTTATTAAGGAATTTCAATTTTCTGGGAGGCGCCGTATATATGGTACATTAGGCATGGAAAAAGCGGTATAATTCAAAACAATACGACAGGGCAAAAATACATATCTATAAGCATACATTTAATTTTGAATAGAAGATTAATTCGATAAGTAGGTCATAAATACCTGAGCTAATGAATATATATATATATATATATATATATATATATATATATATATATATATATATATATATATATATATATATATATATATATATATATATACATATATATATATAATTTTATTTATATATATATAAGCACACACGCACTTAATAAAACCTTTAACTAATCAAATTTAAAAAGTAAAAACAATTGTTACGCTTTGTTAATGGTGATAACAATCGATTTGGCATTTAGGATTTTTAATTGATAGTCTCACCTATGACCTCTTGCGTCAATTTTACTTAATAAATTTGCAAAATGATATAATAGATATTAAATAAATATATAATGGATGTGAGAAATTATCAAAGTCTAATTGATAATAAGTAATCAACGTGAGAAGATAAGATTAAGTTCGAGAAATACATATTAAAATTGTTTTAATAAAAAAGCTTATTTCTACGGGTCATTTCTTTTTTCTCTCTTTGTTTTAGTTATTTCCTTTTGTTTTAAAGATTTTCTTTTTTACTAATTTTTGTTACCTTTTTACTAATTTAGTATATTAACTGTAATTTTTTTGTAAAAATTATTTTATTTGTACTTTAAAAATTTTTAAAAATCTAACTTAGTACATTGTAGGCTCTAAGAATATCGTCGAAGCAGATTTTTGTGAGAAGGCTTGTCATTTTCTTTAAAGTAATTTTTTTTATTGACGGACCTGACTTTCAAAACAGCTCATATAATCTTAAAACACAATTAACCTTTAAAAAAAAAAGTAACCATAATTTAGAACCGATTTATTTCATTTAATAAAATTGATTTTTTGTATATAAACTTAAAGATATTTCTTATTGCTATTCCAATAATACGAATTGTTATTTTATCGGGAGGGGTAATTATTGATCATAAGTAAATAAACTTATTTAAGTTTACATTGCATTAAAGGTTCAAAATAAAATTTTTACTAATTTACTAAGTTTTTGAAACTTTTCCTGCATTTTCTAGTTGTTGTTTTTTTAGTTAATCGACAATCAAATTTTGTTTCAGTACATAAAAATCCAAAATCCTATAAATCCAAAATCCCAATGACTCAAAGTTTTACAATGAAAAGAAATATAAAAGAAGAAAAGAAAAAAGTTATATTAAAAAAAATAGTTTGTGTAGAAAATTTTCCGGATTTTTTTCTGAAAATATTGTTTAAATGATATTTGTAGTTATAAGTTTGTGATGAAAGAGACAATAATGTCTACCTTTTAATTTTTAATTATAAGATAGACAATAATGTCTACTTTTTAATTTTTAAGACAACAAAATTCCGCCAATGTTTTCATGGTTTATGGCATTTAAGTGTTTTCAAAAAAATAAAACCCTGAAGGCTTGTTGCAAATAGAGATATGATCTGACCTTTTAAACTTTATGATTATTTTTACCTGTGTTTGGAAAAATATATTTATTGTTTGGACGTTAAAATATAATCACTTATTTATGCTTTTAAGTCGCTCACTACAAATAAACATATTTAAGTAACCTGTCTGTAATTAAAGTAGCCTATGTTATCAGAGGCAATTTTACGAATAAATTGAAGGGGGGTGTTAAAATTGTTTCTGTATGTAATACAATTTTTTTATGTAATATAACTTATATATACATATATGTGTATGGTACACGTATTTTTAGAACTAGTTTCCTCGTATAAAAAGTAACAAGGCTATTTAAATCATTCTTTTTATATTGTTCCACAAAAATGTAATAATTTCAGTGTTTAAACAATTAAAATAAAAATTCAAATAATTAGTGATACTTCCATTCCATTCAATTAACTAATGACACTTCCATTTACATAATTTCCATTCCAATAACTAATAATTAATATTACTTCCGGTCAAAAATGTGTTAAACGCGCTAATAAATGAATATACATCACATAATATATTTATTTTTTATATTCAAAGTAAGCTCTAAGAGGATCTAGTATATCTTTTATAATTTTTTTTTCAGAGAACACCGTCGCATTTATGAGGAAAATTTTAGCTGCCTTTGTCTACTACTTTGTTTGCCGATATTATTAAACATTGGTGGATTTATTTTTAGCGTTGTAGGGAGAGGTTGTACAAAATATACCACTGAAAGCGTTATGAAGAAAATTTTTTTTCCACTTGTTTATATAAAAAAAAATTATCTTCAAAATTGCATTAAAGCAAACCTATTATCAAAGATTTAATGTCAATGCTTTCTGCAACCACTGTTGATTGCAAATAATATATTTTGTAATTGAAAATGCATATTTGCGTTTTCATTAGCAAAACAGTCAACCAAACTTTGCGTTGCAAGAAGTTTGATAACACGAAAATAATATTCAACAGCTTTTACAAAAATCAGAAATGAATGTTTCTTTGTTGTTGTTTTTTTTGTTTTTACCTTTTGCTCTGACTCTTTCTTTAATATTTTTTTAAAATTTCCGAGATTTTTTCCGAGATTTGTACCTTCTAGAGTAGTTAGAATAGCATAAAAAGATTCAATAACTACATCGCTTGCATTATTCCGGCTTGCCTATCAGATTTACTTGTAGAATATAGAGTCGTAATAAAATAAACAAATAAAGTGCGTAAACAAGCTGTGCCAAAAATTCGGACGTAAAAAAGAAAATGATTCGAACGTCTATTGAACTTCTTTTAAACGTTTTGAATGGCTTTTGAACGTTTAAAAGACGTATTTTTTAGGTCCCGTGGCCAATGGGTGAAAAAGAAATAGTTTTCAAAAAGTCTTTTTTATTATTAATAATTTATTTTGATTAAATGTTTTTAATTGTTTTTTTTTAGAACAAAGATCTTCATGTAACGGAATATTTTAGTCCAACAGTGCTATTTTTTCAGGTTGTGTGATAATACGAACTAATTGCTATTGTCAATGAACCTTTCACTCTAATATTACAGTTTCAACTTTACTTAACTCCAGGTAGGCAAGTAAATCCAGGAAAGCGCGCAAAGTATGGTAAATGTTATATGATTATAGTATGATATATTACATATAAAAACTAATCCTTGTGTTTTTTCTATTTTTAAAAATTAGTTTCTTCATTAGAAGACAAGTGCAAAATACTTTTGGTTGTAAAACTTTTAAGCATATTAGTAACTGTAAAAATTAAAAAAAAATGAAATATATAACTTTCATTTTTTATTTATATTTGTTTATGTTAAATAAATATATGTAAAGTAATTTTTAATCACAAACTTAAGTTAAAAAGATTTACAGCGGAATTTAAGTAAAAACGATGTACAGAGGGATTTAAGTTAAAACGATGTACAGAGGGATTTAATTTAAAAATTTGTACAAAGATATAAATATTATAACTAAGTCTTGATTAGGGACTTAACTTATTTAGTAAATTGTTCAGAAAAACGTAAGTTAAAAGAATGCGCAGATGATCTCCGCCATTTGA